TGGATAGGATACTAATCCCATTTCAGGTGTCCTTGTAAATGAATTATGAAACGACATTCAAATTTAATGTAACAGCTAGAAGATTTAGATATTATAAAAATGATTGTGATGAAGCAAAAATCGTTCATTTTCTATCTTAGGAGCGAATATAACGTGAAACTAAAGTGAAAATAAAAAAAAGACTCCCACCGTTTGCATACAGAGTTGATATTAGGAGAGCCAGCCATGTTCTTGGTATTGGAGTCGACATCTGAAATAACGAAGTTAAGTTCAAATTAGCAACAAAATTTCTTAGGATTATATATCAGTAGCCTGAACAACATTTGCAAACTCTTTTAAATAATAAGCAAAGCTTTGAAACGTTGATCATTGATTCCGTTTTTGAGGATAACTTTTTGCGGGTACTTAATTTTGTGAAAATGATTTACTTAGCAGTCGAGTCAAAAAAAATATTATTGCAACCGTTAATTTATTTTTCTCTTAATAATGTTCCTTCGGGAATTTTTTTTACAGGACTGCGATAAAAGTATTTAGAAAAGGCTTTTGATTAGAATTCGCAAAGCTTCGAATTTTAATATTTTCTACCCTCATGTATGAATGCCTAATATAGCATAAATTGATTAGTTACGTCGTTAGTATTTTGAGATGGTCACTCGAGAAGGAAAATGCCTAGATGGAGGCAGGTGTTCCTGACCAGAAATATATTTTAGTTTGAACTACTTACGTTTCAACATGCCTTGGTACAACTGCCTTATCTTATGCGCTACTTTCCTGTATCCTAAATGGATGCCAACTGATATAATTGCCTTGTTATGATATAATCTTGCCAATTCCTTCTCCGATTCTTGTGCTTCGGTTTCTTCTGGTCTGCGCAGAATTCAGATAAATTGTTAACGTAAATGTCATTCCTATAATGCACCTACCAGTAAAGAACTGACTTAGTTATGGTAAAGAACTAGATGTGTTACAAATTCCCATGTTTTTAGGACACTAAAGCTATTTTTCTAGAAGTTTACGTTCTGTTCCTCTAAAAACTATAACCAGCCACTGGCTCAATTGAAGTTGAATGGCTGTGCAATGAAATTTTATACAGAAGTCTAATAATATATTACAATCCAAAAATGAAATTTCATTGCATCTATGGAGCCAAATAGCTAGTTGGCTTAATAGTTGCGAAGTTGCATTTTATTACTTTGGTTCGAATTTCGATTTTCTTGTTTTCCAAACGTAATATTTCTTAATACACCTTAGTAGAGAATCATTCTCTGCCTTTCATCAGTAGAGTTGAAGGTGTGAAATTCGAAACAAAGTGCACCGTTCGAAGATCGTCATAAATTGCATAACCTGTTAGAAAATTGATTTTAAAGGGGGCGTAATATCTGTTTAACCATAGATTCGGTAAACCTTACCACACTTTATTACTTTTTTGTGATGGAAAGTAATCCAAGTTGGATGCCTGTCCAAACGGTTACAGTAAAAATCACTTAAAACCTATACTTACTGCAATGGCTCTCACAAAAGCGATGGCGAGCATTCAATCACCTGTCTGAGATGTTTTCAAGTTATTTGCTGTCTTCAGTCTCCAGTGATTTGTCCTTGGAAAGAAACACTTTCGGAATGAGCCCACCACGGGCCTTGACAAAAAAATTTCAGCCACTATTCTCTCACAGTAAGTAAACAATGTCTAGAAATTCAGTTAAAACAAGTCCTTTTAAAATACACAAAATGCAAATTCCTGTTTGTTCTTGGCACACATAATATGCTAAACCACTGTTAACGTGGTTCTTTGACTATCGTAAATGACTTTATATTGTATTAAATTAAGCAGAAACTATATATAACAGCAGTTTTGATAGGAGAGGGAGTTCATGTTAGATAGAATAAGAAGGAGTTCATGAAATTTAGAAGTTTTAAATTAAAAAAAATGGAAAAATTTAAATTCTGTCACCTGCATTGGAGCCTTTTTGGAGGAAAGTCAATTAAGACACTACTGTCAGTTGAAATAGACATATTCAGAAATGTAAATAATAGATGGTTCTCCCTTTAATTTTCGTATAGTTAAAAACTGCTGCTCAAGAGGACACCTATCAACGTGATTTTTATTTTTCCTTTTCCATCTACTTTTTTTCGATTTGATATATTCGTATTTTTGACAGAATTGAAATTATAAACATGCAAATGATAAGAAATTGATTTCATGCCAGTAAAGTTGATTTGCGAGTAAACACATGCAAGTGTCGAAAGCTTTTTTTTTTGCGATTTGCATCAAGGTCATTTTACAGCAATTAGGCACCTTTTCAGACGCACCATTTGTACGTAAGTCAAAAGGCACAAATCTATAACAGAGAATTTAAGATAATCAATACGTAGTTAAAGATTGAACTGTGTGAGGCTCGTGAGGGGGATGATGGTGAGACGATTGATGTAGCAGAAACCACCTTTGATAGCTATTTCTAGAAGATGTAGGATTCGTTTTAGGACAAAAACAACAACAGCACATTATTGGTTGTAGAATATAGATATATCATATTTCTGTAAATACATTTCTGCAATACAGGAACAAGTTAGTCATCGTTTTGTTGCTTTCTAGTTTCTGGTCATGTTCCCAAAGCATGGCTAAGTAGGATATGACTGATAATAATAATAATAAAAATAAAAATAAAAACGCACGCGATACTCAAGGGAGCTGAAATACTAATTTTTACCATAGAATTAACCATCCCCTATTTTAATTAATTTTATTATTTAAAATAATATAGAATGCTAAGAAAACCAGTCATTAAGAGCCATAAGAAAATGGTCCATGCAATAAATAACGGTAATAGGACTGGGTGAAATCCAATTCGGTTTGTAATCATATGAGTGATAAACACAATTGGATGACCCCGAAGGGAGAGTCCATTTTGTCAATCACGGGTATGATTGCCGACAGAATTGGACGACAAGAAGTCCTGTTATCACTTAATCATTACCGTTACGATTTCCGTAAACAACAAATACATTTAGCTCAAATATCTCCAGTTGAGACAATGTCTAAAGTAAAAAGAAATTTTCCTACTTTGGAAATTTCTCAATTGTTTTTTTAAGATAAGTGGTTGTTACTATGGTTATTGTGATTAATTCTGTGATTGGTGGATTTGGCTGGGGGACTTAGTGTGATTGGCTGCTTCAACTGTCCAATTACATGCAGGTGCCTGATAACACTTCACGTTTACAGATGGACAGAATGATTAGTGAAAAATAAAGCAGCTACTGCACTGATCACATTTGAAGAAATTGTAGGGGTTATAATTAACAACAAAAATACTCGTCTGGTCATATTAGAATGTTAATTGAGACATCGTTTCATCATTGAACACTGAAGCGTAGGGAAGTGACTAGGGATCTTCGATGTTTTGTATATATACGCGGATCCAGACGTCAGAACATGTATCACACTTTCACTGTCTAGAATTTACGCTTATCTGCTCTTTGTGTTTCTACTGTTCTCATTCTAAAATGGCCTGCAGATAATAAAGGGTCTATTCTTGTTTTTCTCTTATGCGTTACATCCGACAAGCTATATCAAAAGAGGACATTAGCCTACAAATTTCAAAATTTTGGGGTTTAAGAAAAACCTTCATCAGAAAAAGGAAATGGATAATAATCTTAAACAAAGCTGTTGATACCGATTTTAAATAATATTGTTCCATCATTGTCTACTTTTTTCCTACACCTAATCGCTGATGCTGCCTGGCATATGCGCCGTCAATGAATTAAATACATGCCTAGAAGATGTTTGCACAAGGAATTTAAAGAGGAGTGGAAAAGACTTATCTTTTATAATACTCAAAAGTTTTTTGATTTTTGTTTCAACTAGCGTTGACTAGAGATGTTTAATTTTCTTGAAAAGCAATAGCAATACTTTCGTAAAAGTGGAAAATCCTCCATTATGCAATATGGTTGGTCTTTGTATGCGTCGATTCTACTTATGTCCCCTACAAGTGAGGGAACACCCTTCTCTATCCTAACAGTAGCTTCATAAAATCCCTCATTGGGAGATGTAACAAAATGCAACTGATACAAAGTGTCTTTAACGAGGGTATTCCGGGACTTTTTACCCAAAACCACCCCACAACCGTCACACGTATCTCGTGCATCTCTCGTGGTACCCTGAAACCTTTGCATGGCTTCACTGGGCATTTCGCGGAATGCCCTGTTCACTTCTTTCAATTTCAACCGCCGACACATCTTCACCAGCTCTTCATTCTGTGACGTCAGATTGTTGATATGTAATACCACAAAATCTGCTAATTCCATCACCACAGACTCATTAGTGCCAACCTCTTCTAGGTCAAGACAAGGACACCAATGATCGTCTACGCCAGCACTCGCGCATGTGCGATTCCTTGGATCTATCCGGCTAAACAGGCTTTGCCCAACTAAAATCCCCCTTGGGTAATGAGGATATGACAAGATGTGACGTAAAGTTGCATAAACATCAAAAGGTGATGTAAGAACGCGGGAATTATGAAGAAGGTTACTTTGGAGGTCAGGATACTCGTCTTGAAACCATTCCGGCAAGGTAAATGACATAAATGGGAATCGTTCTTCAAGTTTCCCTTGTATTGTACTCCTGAAACCAGAAAATCGTGGTCCGTGATCGGAAAAAATTATCAACAAAGTGTTTTTCAAGAGTGACTCTTTTTGCATCGTCTCTAAAGTTGCTTTAAGGTCGTCGTCCGCAAAACCAACCGTGTTTACGCTATCGTGGGATATGTCAGCATGAGATGAGAACGCAAATTTTGGCGTGTCCTGGTAACTTCGGAAAAAACTCATCAAATAATTTAGAGATTCGTTATGAGCAGGCCTACTGTTAAGGCAAAATTTGCTCTTCATCATTAGTTGGAAAGCCTCTAGCCAAAACGGTCTGGCGTAATGGTCAGTGGGCGGATCGTGGAAACCTTTCAAGCGATAATTAAAGGAGGCAAGATGCGGGGAATCTTCTGAAAACATCGTAGCGTACCCACTCTTTTTAAACTCTTTAAAGATCCAACGCCAGTTGTCTACTGGTCTAGATGAATCAATTCTCTTTCTAGCCTCTGATTGCTCTTTCTCCGTCTTTCCAGTCAGCAACGCTGTCA